TCACGTGAGCGCAATTCTCGCATTCTCTCACTTTTCAAACCTTAAAGGTCACATAAACCCTAGGGGGTAAAAATACATAAATCACTAACTGGCATCCTTATAAATGAAACCCCGTCATTAAAACTACTCATTTCGACCTTTAATTGACTTAAATCGACCTTTTTGACAACAGTGCACAATTCTCACCAGCGAACGAAATTTCAACCAATCAGAGCGGCGCGATTCTGTGACGTCATATGAGGAATAGCTTTGAGGGCCGATGCAGAATTCATCTACATTTTAGGGGTATATTATCTTGTTTACAGGCTTGTATAAACCTGAAATCGCGGACAATTGTTGTGGAAAATGAAAGCTATATGTTCTCACAATCTACTGGCATTTACTTTTGTCTCCTGCTTTGCCTAGTTTCCGAAGTTACAACTTGTTTTCATAGACGCTTCTGTCACAATTGATTGGTGTCGTTAGGCCCTATTTGTATAATGACTGATCCAAATTGATCCCATTTCTGTGTTTTTACCTCGATATTTAATCATGTCATGTAAAAATCTGTTTGTATTCTCAAAACAGTGTCGGCTCATAAGTTTTCACATGCAATACAGCAATTAATACTCCCTTGTTGTAACCCGTGTTAGGTGGTATAAACCTACACATGTTATTTGTCATCATTCACTTGATGGTCAGTTAATGAATTTGTAACAGGTATAATTAGTGGTAACACACTTAGATTACCCCCGACAAAGGTTCCCATTTGGCATTTCTTGTGTCTGGAGTAAATATTCAACATTATAAACATCGATCAAAGGATTAACCGATAACACGCTGATTGATTAATTACTTTTATCTTACACAGCCGGATTTGTCAAAAGGTAGTGTTTATGTATGTAGATCTACTAATCTATACTGAATACACTCTGCCGTGTCGGTACGTTCGCGTAAAAACAACGCCCTTCTTTCAAAGGATTAACCGGCAATACATTGATTGATTGCCCATTATTGGCTAACTAAATTACTGTTTTTTTTTTTTATGAAAGGCGGACATTATGCAATTAGTTGCCAGGTGTGCTATCTTGGGTGACCAGTGAGACTATACACCAATACCTGAAAAGATTTATCACCTTTTTAGTATATTAAACTGTTAAAAAGACACATCATTTGGAACAGTTTTGTGGATATTGATGGATACATTCCTCAAACAAGGTAATGGCCTGATATTGTTCCTATAACTTTAATCTGTTTTAATTTTAATATTTGCATTTTGTTTTTTATTCATTTGTCGTGTAGCATTCAACAGAATCATTGTTTTCGCTTTTGAAGTGTAATGAGACAGACAACATACACTAGGGTATGTGTGAATTATGATTCACATTGGCAAACTATAAAATGTCTAGATATTACAGTTCTGTTATAAATTCACTATAAGTATCAGCAGATCGTCAGCTTTTTATTTAGTTTCAAAATGCATAAAAGTATGATAATAAACTAATTATGATTATAAGACCAAATATAAAGACGCACATTGACTAGTATCTACATACTGGTGAGTGGACATTAACCATGTGAATGTAGCAAAGAAATTTATCGCAAGTATTGTGACTTCTCGACCCCCACCTCGCCTGCGGGAAGAAATCGCTATGTTATAAGTTGTGTCATGCAAAATCCTTTTGGTTATGATTCCAATACATATTTAACTCACAGTGTAGAAAGTAGTTTTGATTTTCTAACTTGATGAAAACAAACTATAATCTCATTAATTCTAACAGACTTTACTGATTTTCAAAATGGCGAATGCCTCTGTCGGAACATCCGCAAGTCTGTGGAGAAATGCTATTTAGGTTTGTTTTCACCGAATTAGAAAATCAAAACTACTTTCTACTGGTAGTAAAATATGTATTTTATTGATGGCCAATAGGATTTTGCATGACATATGTATAACATAACAATTTCTCTCCTGGCAGCGAGGTGGGTGTCAATATAATACTACTTACAATATTATTGTTACTCGACCACAACCTCACTTCGAGGAAGAAATCGCTATGTTACAAGTTGTGTTATGGAAAATCTTTACGGTCATCAATCATATACATATTTTACTATAACTAGTAAGTAGTTTTGATTCTTTAACTTCAGTGAAGCGATCTGAACACAAGTAAGATATCGCTTTCAGGCTTCCACAACGCTTCTCGCACTCACAAACATAACCCATTTAGCACTAACTGCGGGGTCCTGTGGAAATCTGTGCATGGTGACACCATCACCCGACCCCTAGGAGCAATTGACGACAAAGCAACGATTCGGCATGTCGCCGTTCATGTCGAAATCATCAAAATGATGAGCGTGCTACACACTTTCTATACAAGTAACTGAAAATCGTTCCTCATATGACGTCACTGCAGTGCTCTGGCGACAGAGTTACGTAACCTGTCTGTGGTTTCGTTGGCGGGCGAGAGGGAAGCAGGCGACTTTTTGGCCACTTTTAATCGCTCGGTATTAATTAACCACAAGTTTTTAAAGAATAAATTTGGTGTTCCGCATAAGACTAACCACAAATCTTTCATATGTAATGGTTAAAAGAGTAACAAAAAACAAAGTTTAGTGGTTCTTTAAGAAAATATGCGCCTGAAAAAAACTCGGCAACCCAATTTCACCTCACCTTTAATTAGCCGGGAGCACCTTTAGTTAGCTGTTCGGTAATACCCAACACCGCTCTATGCTCATAATATCCAAACTTAATTTTTACACAAAACTTTAAATTGACCCAGTATTTTGTCCACATCTACAAGCTGTGCAAACTGTGTATACCTGTTACTTTGTAAGAATAGGTTTTGGGTGAAGCAGCCCCTATTCACTCAGCATCAACACTGTTAGCCTGCAAGCTGCTCAAACAATCTATCGATTTTCAAGTTGTCTGTTCTGACAGATTTCACACGAAAATGATAAAAAGTATAAAAAGACAAACTTTTACCTTATTAAGAGTTCTATTTCTCTCTTCTATATAATCTAAAAGAGATGTTCTGTGATTATCGAGCATCGAATCCTCACGTTCGTCTATCTCGGACGCCATCTTGTTATGATCACCATAGTGACGCTCGCTTACCCCTGAAATGAAGTTCAAATTATAATGAAAAATTATATGTGCCCCTATATATAACGTTTCCCTGAGGTTTCAAAATGTTTTAATAAACATAACTAGTATATGCATATAAAAACAATTGCCAAAAAGTTTATATTTTGAAAAGGGGGGTAACTCATATTATTTCAAACGCATTATACTAGTTGTGTTGTAGGTAAGCGCCACAAACTCAGCGCTTAAACTTTCGCATAGTACGCTGGTTCCCGCGGTTACTTGAACTAGGAGCCCAGTCAAAAGACGAATACCTATCATCGGTTGTCGCTATCATCGAGTGGTCCGAGAAGACGGTGACATAACATATTTCTCGAAACCGTTTGGTATGATGATGTACACTACACAAAGATCGATTATTCGAACTCTCGGGTCTTTCGCTCTGTAATAGTTTAAGTGTACCTAGATCACGTGGATGACGGTGTATCGTATAAGGTTAATATAACATACCGGAAAGATTTCCGCCCGTAACCCCGGTTTTTTTTATCATTCTATGCCAAAGATTTATAGTAAGAATAGATGCTTTTTTTATAGAAAGCCTACCGTAACCCTAAACCTAACATAATGCTGAATCTGAACCCTAAACCTAAACCCTAACCCCTTGAAATAATCATAATAAACAGAATACATTCCAAGCGGGGGTTACGGGCGGAACTCATACCATGTTCTCACTAAACTGAAATATACAGACTACTGAATAACGACTACAGATTCCATTGAATTGATATAGGTAGTTCTCTTCTTTAGGGCATGTGGGGGGCAATTTGTGTATTTGAACTATTGCTGTAAGCAGGTCAAGACAACTCAGAGTATACATTTTGAAACTCAGCGTCATAGAGTCATATCACCATTTGATCCATTTACTTTGCACATTTAACCCCTTATTGTGTCCTATAACCATGTCCTGCTCAGCTGTTGACCTTGTCAAGCATATAACTAGACGACTTTGCACTATACCAAGGTGTGCTCGATGTAGGTATGAACTACTGTTGACCAGGTATAGCATGGATGCTCAGGGTGTTTTTAGCCTTAGGGGGCCCATTTTCAAGAATGTGACTGAATATCATATCATTCTCAATTTCATATGAAGTCTTTATCCCACTCCTTATAGGAATTTTATTGTTTGATTGACAAACTTTGTGTGCTGGCAATTTGGTGCCTGACTCTGAATCCGGATGGAACTCAACCCAACAAAAGTACTAGAATCTGTTCCTTAATGAGAAAGTGTAATCTCAAATATAAGATGTGTTACATTTGACCACTTTCTAGATTGCATTGTGTATTCATTCCTTGAGTATATCAGTTATGTTTGACATACAGTTCAATTTTCATTAGTTTCATTAATCAAAACAGCACAACATTTCTTGGTCACCCTTGGCAATATGATTTATTTTATGCCCTGTAACCCTGTATAACTCTATGGTAATTTCTCACGTACAATCTTCTTGATCATCAACATGATATCAAAAACATGTATATTACTGGTACTTTTACAGAATCATCTTTACTGCAACATGGCAAAACCAAGATTTGAGCCTCTTATTGAGTTTGTGAATAGTAATGAGAGAGACGCTTCACCCAGAGACTGGAGTAGAAGAGCCAAGATGAGAGAGAGATACAAACCATTGCGTGGGGAGGATGTGCGAGGCTTTTATGAAACTCTCATTTCTGAGACGACTGCTAGTGCCCCACAGACATCATCAGAGAAGGCTAAGAGAGGAAAAATGTGCAATTCAAAAGCTAAGCTGACAAATACTAAGAGCCATTCTGAAGCAAATGGTGATTCTTGGGAGACATCTGATGACCAATGTAATGTTAGGGAGACCCATTCAGTCTCTCATGTTCAACACACATCCATCTCAAACATCTCGAAATGATCACAAGAAGATGAGACAGCTAGAGATGCAGCTGTTGCACAGGAGTCAGGAAGGTGATTTACAGAGTGTGGAAAAGGCTGTAATATCCGGGGCTGATGTCAATGTTCAGGACCTGTATGGGTGGATGCCTCTTATGTGTTCTGCCTATGCTGGTCACGTGGGTGTTGTTCAGACCCTCCTTGGCCTTGGAGCAGACTGGGATCTGTGTGAGAGGAAGGGGAGGACTGCCAGGGATCTGGCTTCTAAGGTTGGTCATGGCAGTATTGTGAAGCTCATTGATGCTACCATAGCTCATTTACAGTCTTCCAATGATGGATCAAGTTCCAACCAACAAGTCACAAATGAGGAAAGTTTCTTCTGTGAAATTTGTAAAAGACATTTTTCTGAAGGGACAGAACTCTCTCACAGAACCTCCACTGTCCATTTGTTCAACTGCCAATTAAAACCTAAGCAAACTAGCTACCTGATTTCGGAGTCCAATATTGGATATCAGATGATGCTAAGGAGTGGCTGGAATGCAGATCGGGGTCTTGGACCTCAAGAAGAGGGACAAAAGTACCCAGTAAAAACTGTGTTGAAGAGGAATCGAGAGGGCCTTGGGGGTGAACGAAAGAGCACACCTAGAGTGACTCACTTCCCACCCCGTGATGTTCGAGCTGTTGCAACTGTGAAGCCGAGGGGGGAGAGGAGAGAGTCGTTGAGGTCACAGTCACGCCGAGCCATCAAGAGGAAAGAAAGGAAAGATAAAGAGTGGGAGAGAAACTTAAGGCGTTATATGAACTCTGATTAACTGGTCTCGATAAAAACTCCCCTTGTCCCTGTTTCTGTTTTCTCTATGGTGTGTGGTGTGTGATGTTATTTTTGAATGAAGTGAAAGCAGGGTTTTACCTTGACTTACAAAAGAGAGGGGTCAAGGGAACCCCATCAATAGATTTTAAGGGTCCTTGCTGGTAGTACGAGGGTCCTGTAAAGTATTGAAATGATGTAGTGTACTGTATGCTCAGATAATGACTTCATTGCTTGGAATGAATCAGTGATCATGAAGACAGTGGTCAGGACTGATTGGGGAAATAACAGACACACACATAACATCTCTTGATACACTGTCGGTACGCTCTCAGTAGTTTTGTGTCTCCCTAGACGCTGTATTTTGGGCTTTCTGAGTTCATTCTCTACATTTGTTGTTGTGCGTTGTGTAAAACCGTGATGAGAGTGAAATGATTCCTCCTTTAAAGAGATGACAGGCAAACCACAAGTAGAAGTGGCCCACTGACAATGAGTTACACTCATTGTTGAGAAGTGATTTGTGGAATGTGACAAACCCCCCATGAAACCTTCTCTGAACACCAATTCGGCAAGCCTGACCACCCGATCCCATTAGTCCCCTTTTTGACAAGAACAGGTTGCTGAGGACCAATTCTACAATATTAGAGAATATAGAAGCCATGATCCAACTATTCTGTATTCTGCGGTTGAGGCAAGCCAATACAAATTAATAGCAACCTTTTTCTTGTATCCAACGGAAAAAGTACATAGATTTCTTTTGGGACACTCTTCCACTTTGGTATGAACCAACTCAAATCTATCTTTAATCATTTTGAAATTGTCATACCGATCTTTGTCGTCTGATCTAATCATATCATCCCACCATGGCGATTACCTGTCTTGGTAGGGAACTTTTCTCTCCGATACCACTGCAGTCTGTCCACTATAACATCAAGCTTATGACTAGATCATGAATTAATACTTAAATGAAAATAATATTTACTGTTGTCTCCCATTTGTTACACATGCCAGTTGTTGCACACTCTGATATTGCCAGTTGTTACACAGTCAGGTTGGGGGGTCATTACTGCTATACCTACAACAATAATGGACTAGCCCAAACTGCTCAGTAGAAGGATTTATAGTTTTTTAAGAAGAAGATTGTTTATTAAAGTGTCACAAGTTGTACATCATAAAAGCATCATAAAATAGAGTACAACATCCGGCCACAGCCTATGAGATTCTATATTGCATTTAAAAACAGAAAGTTAAAATTAGATAATAAATTACTAACAGCTATAGTTGGTGTAACAGTGTAGTTTTAAAATACTAGTAGTGTAATGTTACTAGGAAGTTGCTATAGTAAAGCAGCTTAACTGTCAAATGTATCAAAGGGATTAAGAGCAAGCAGTTTTGATGGGTTTTTTACTCAAGAAATGTTTGTTTGATTAAAGATGTTTTTATAGTTTACATTTAATATTTACATTCAGTTGTTTTTATCTTGTTAAGACCTACAAGGGCAAATGCACAACAGTTGGAGATCTTGTCAGGAATGTTTCTGACCACAGTCATCCACCAGAAAATGTCACTAGGGCTAAGTTTATCAGCAGTCTTAGGAAAAGAGCTAGATCGTGATCCGCAAGATCGGGTCCAGAAAGCGAGTGTACAGGGAGTTGGAGAACAGAATCCAGAGACTGAAGGACCAGCTTCACCAGGGTACCAGGACACCACTTGACTTCCTTGATGTCACGGACATTTGATTAAGCTTGGTCGAGACTCTTGTTATGTGAAATCTGTGTGCTGAGTTGAATCAGTGGTTTAGAAATAAATGATAAAAGACATCGAAGAATGATTAACTTCATATACATGGATTTGCAAACAAATGCAATAAAATGATATGTAGTGCTTATCAATTGTGTTGCGTTCTCTTTCTATGTCTGTAACGAGTATGTACTATCCCATTCTTCACTAATAGGTAATAGGTGTGTGCAGTGGTCTGTGACCTTATGTGTATTGGGGTGTGTAACAAATAGGAGGATACCAATATTTACATACCCTATTTACGCACCTTGCTTAATCAGCATGCGAAAACATAGTAAATTTACATCAACACGTGTGCGTGTATTTACATATGTGTAAATATACTCACATATGTAAATCATGTGCATGCGAACAGGGTATTAAGTTTACTTGGGTTCGAAATATAAATATTTCCTTAGTTGGGGAAACATTTGTAAACTTGTAAATTTTCAAATGTTTTCATGGCTTAAAAGCTTGTGTATTATTCTGGATATTTCGGTAGGTATTTGAACACTTTTTATATACTCATGTTACCAGTACTAAAACAAATTGGTCACAGAAAAACTTGGTTCACATTGTGTTATACACATATGCTGAAGCGTTTGAAATCAAGGCCCATACCATACCTGGCTAAGCAAAACATTGTTATGCAAACAGACAGGTTTCATAAGTTCATCAGCTTAATCACTTCACTTCAACCCATTGTCAGGTTTGATAGTTGTTTAGGCTATGCAATCTCTTATTACTCTCTCCTCGTTTATCATGTTTATTGGTTGTAAACTGTGACATGTTTCGCATCCATGCATTATACAATGCAGTTCTTGATTCATTATTCATGCTTTCAGTCAATAACAAAACATCTGTAAAATACTTATGATGGGAACCTGCTTAAAGCTGCATAACTCACAGGTACTTGTTTTACTTTTCAAAGTTCTTTGAGGTAAGCTTGTTTTCAAATGTATTGATTTAGCAGGGCTCGATTTAGTGCTTTGTTACTTGCACTGGTGCAACCCAATATTACAAAGTATTTTTGAGACTTCAGCTGGAATACAGAATGATGAGGAACTGACTTGGAAGAGTGACTCTAACTAATCTTATCAGTCCCAGATTTCTTTTGTTATGATGTTCTAAACTATCATTACCAAACCTCAAGCATCCTATTTTATAGAAGATTTTATACTGAGCAGCAGGTGCAACCTGTTTTATCTGATGCAACAAGGTTTCTACCTAAGGTTGCACTGGGTGCAAGTAGGTTTCATGTCTTCAAATCGAGCCCAGTTTAGTATTGCAAGCAACCCTGCAGGTTATTTGGAGGTATTAACGCCTTGAACAGATACCTCTCATCTCTCCTCTATTTCCATTACCCCATATATAATTGGAGAAAATAATCATGCTAATTAAAAGATCGCACAAGCAACCGTAAGTACAATGTACTTAGATTTGCCTTTCCATACTACATAAAATCAAGCAGATATTCAATATCATAAATACACGACATTTCTGGGCTACATCATGCCCATTCGTCAGGTAATGGGACAAGAAGCAGCACAGAAACGTTGTGTTGTAAATAATAAAGAAGTTGTAAATCCATACCAAACGTTTTTATGTTACCTTCCAACTTCTAGAGCCTAATGGTTAAAGCGTTGGCTCATCACGCTGAAGACCCGGGTTCGAATACACACATGGGCACAATGTGTGAAGCCGGTTTCTGGTGGTCCCCGCCGTGATATTGCTGGAATATTGCTAAAAGCAGCGTAAAACCAAACTCAGTCAGTCAGTCAGTCCAACTTCTAGATGCCCATCATTCAACTGCATGTTGATCAGTTTACGCTGCAAACATGAACATTTACCCATGATTACAGTCTGTTTGACTCGAAAGTGTCCCAATGAATTGCTAAATATATCAGTTTAGAAAGGTAGTTAATAAATATTTTGAGGTAAGATGGTCATGAATAACCTATACCCAAACACCTTTTCAGTTATTTCAGGAATTGTCATGCATCACAGAAAAAGTTGTTTAACAAACTATCATCATTATAAACATGATCGTTGACAGTTGGCCCGGAGGGGCGCAAGGCTGCAACGGGAATAGACAGGTGCATCTGATCAGGGAGACTATAAGACGTTGTAGATTATCCCTGATCTGATGCGCAGGCATTTCGTGATAACTGCTGTGTGCTGGTGACGAAATGAAGTTCACTGTACAGGCTAAAAAGTTGATAATGAAAGTGTATGATTTCTTTCGCGCTGAGGCGGAAAGGGGGAGGCCGTTTTAGGCCATCGATAGGTATAACAAAAGTGCTTCCTATGCATATAGTGATTAGGATGTGGTTGTGTGGCATTTCACCAATAAGGAGAACAAGATCAAGAACACACCCAGGCACCCATGAAGGGCCACCTCCTCGTGGTGGGTTCTGGGTCACGCTAAGCGCCCTTCGACCCCCGTTGTGGACCCGGGGGGATATTAGGTCCACCAACCCGTTTGCCGTGGGTTGCGCCTCTGTGTCGGTGGAGGACGGGATTCTGGTGGTTGAGGGCAATAGGATCCTGGAACCGTGTTCCTGTTGCCCAACACACCACTTCGGCCCTTACTTCACCTAGACGGGTGGTAGAACTGGCCCGGTTCTACCAATCTGCTGGTCACGCCGTGCCCTGCGCATGGAATCATTCAAATTTATATCAATGTACATTTATATAATGTTGATATTGAATGTTGTATTTCACAAATATATTATTATATCTATTTGCCTAGAGTCCTATGCCAGAAGGCGGTGGCTCATGGGCCAATCTGGTGATGTTGACCGCTGATTACTATATGTTTCTAAATAGTTGTTATGGGCAGGACCAGCCTGACAATGAATTTAGTAAACAAATGTAGCTATTCAAGTCATATTTGCTGGAGTATAGCATCCCTGTATCCCTGGTGTTTGCATTTTGGAGACCCAATGCAGTTAGACATTGTCCTTGTTGACACTCCGTGGTGGGTAGGGAGCAGGGATGCTGAACCATTTTTGCTTACATTATGAATCCCCAATCATCTGGTTCATCAAGAAATGAAAAGAAGAGACGCATAGAAACTGTTGATGACTCTTCTAGAACTGTTCATTCTAATGCTGATTCTTGGCCTCGTTTCCTGGTAGTTGAAGCTGTTGATTTTCTTCCCATCAAATTAAAACCCTTTTGCTATTTCCAAGGCAGTATCTGGGATTTGTGGGGAAGTGAAAAATGTCACCCGTCTCCGTAATGGTTCCCTTCT